CAATAATAATAATAAATAAATAAATAGTAATAAAAATAAAATAAATATAACTGTTAATAAAGCTACAATAATACATAGTAGATTAAGTAATAATTTATAGATACTAAGAGATAGATAGAGTGTGAGTGGCAATTTCAGATTTGAATTTGGCCAGTGATTTGCAAATTCTTAAATTTTCTGGTAGGGAGTTCCAGACTTTTGCCCCATCATAAGAAAAACTTCTTTTACCAAACTCTGTTTTAGGGAGAGGTAACTGCAATGAGGTATACTAGAGCCCCTTAAGTCGTAATTTGTAACGCCTTTGTTTTTSTAAAGAGATCTACAAGACAGTYAGGGGCCATTCCGTTAAGTATTTTGTACATGTGCTTGGCYTTTGTTTTCTCTCTTTGGTTTTTGAGAGGTTCCCAGCCCAGAGCTTTCAAAKCTTCCTGGTGGGGAGTTTCATTACTCGTATAAGTGATTACTTTTGCAGATCTGTTTTGTAATTTCTGAAGACGTTTAGCGTGACCTTCACCAAGGGTGTCCCATACCTCACTACAGTAGTTAAAGTGCGGCTGTACTATAGCATTATGTATGCCAATCAGAGTTTCCCTGTCCACGAAGTCTCTTATTTTTCTAATGGCTCCTATACCCGACGTAACTTTTTTAACTATGCTATCAACATGCTCATCCCAAGACAAAAACTGGTCAATCTCCAAACCAAGAACCTTACTTTGGGTAACTTGTTTTATGGAATCTTGACCGATCTCTACATTAGGCTGAGCAGTGATAGTACGCAAGTTATAGTGAGACCCAATTAGCAGAAATTCGGTTTTCGCTACATTAAGGCTCAATTTGTTAGCTAACAACCAGTTCTTAACGCACTCAAGGTCACAATTCATGGCASTCTCAACTACCTCTATTGATCTACCAGTTGCTGTCAGATTAGTATCATCAGCAAACATACGTGGCATTGTTTGCCTTAGACACTCTGGTAAATCATTTATGTACAAGAGGAAGAAAAGCGGGCCAAGAATGGAACCCTGAGGAATTCCGCAGTGCAGTTGTGTTTGCCAATTTGTCCCCCCCCCCCCTCCCGCCTTTAGTGTGGGTTAATGCGGTAAGGGTAGCTTCAGGACCCAGTTGTTCAAAGCCCGATTAGTGCTAATCCTTGGTTAACTCTTAATAAGACCTATAGAAAGATATAACTAGCTAAAAACTAGTGTGAGCGGCGTCGGTGTTTATAATGAAACAGTAATGATGAAAAAACTTACTGACGTTTCGGACGCTAGTCCTTCGTCGGAGTAAAAGAGACGAAGGACTAGCGTCCGAAACGTCAGNGACGAAGGACTAGCGTCCGAAACGTCAGTAAGTTTTTTCATCTTTTCACGGTGTATGAATTTACCTTTTCATTAAGACCTATAGATTTAATCCTGGATTAGCGCTAATCCAGCTTTGAACAACCCGGCCCAGGTGAGTATACTCCACTGAGGGGATCAGTGTGACGGGTACCTGGTCAGATGTGGCCCGGTTGCCATGGTTACGTCCATGGAAGGGCGTGGTCAGACGAGGCCTCCACTGTCCGGTACCCAACCCCAAACTTCTCATCGACGGTGAGTTTTAGTTGACTAGTGCATTAGGGATCGAAATTACAAGTAAAAGTATATTTTCCCCTAATCGAGCTTGAATTTTGTTCGGCTAACACTTCTTAACAATGACTGACTCAGGATAAATTTGAAAGAACGCGTGACGGAGTGAAGGGTTTGGAATGTGCCAGTAAGCAACTTTTTCAAAATGGGATTATGTTTACTTGTGATTCTGATTATTTGAGTGARGCTGCAATGCGTGACCAACTCACGGATAAAAATGGAGTAAACGTGAGACTAAAACAGTATGGAACGTGCCATCCGAAGATTTTTGTTTTTCAAATTCTTCGATTGCACGTTACGTTATCACAGCCTCTCGGGGGAGCATTGGTGCCATTCAACAAAAGATTTCTTATAAGCATGCATTATTAACGGCACCACAATGAGCCATGCTTTTGTCTTTTAACTCTCTTGGGAATGCTTGCAACCTATCAATAATGGAAAGTTTCTGAGGAGTCACTAATTCATGACATTTTCTTTTGCTATGATAAGTCGATGATCGAGAAGGCCTGCTTTTTCTTGCCAATAATAGCCAATGACGTGGCCTCAGGTGAATTTTAAATGCATCTCATTTACATTTTCTGCTGATTTTGGGGATCCTTATCTTTATGCAAAAAGCAGTCTTTCTTTGCTTAGTAACGTTGTTATCAGAAATGGTCAATTATTTCCTTTGTCGGCGAACTTTCATTTTAAGAAGGGGATGATTCCCTGAGAATGCAGGATAAACACAGGGGGCAAGCCAGGGATCCCCGGAAAGCCCCGTTTGTTTCTGCCTTATTTGGGTGACAAGCGAGCTGAAAATAATAAAGACTTGTACAAAGTCCAGGTCAAGTGTCACGCATTTCTATCAGAGATAATAGAGGGGAACTTCTATATTTAAAATTGCTGTATCATTCGTGTCAAGCGCTATTGTAGGGAAAGCTCTGTGTCGGTTCAGGTACTCCTCATTGAAATGTGAATTAAAAGTTTCTAATTGCTGACAATGGGACAAAGATTCTCGACAATTAATTGGAGTAAGTTGGACGACAGCACACTCGAGGAACAGAAAGCCTTCCTATCCGAATGGGCAGAAAAATTCAAAGTCGATCCCGTTTCCGCTATCGGTCGAAATATAAATGTTACTAGAAAGGGGATCATCTTATAGCATACAGAATTATTGGATATACGCACCATATGATCTGTACCAAAGTGCAAGGAGATAGCATCATGGTTATTGAGTACAGAAGACGTAATACCTTAGAACTATCGGCCGAGGAAGTACTAGTCGATCTGGAAAAACTGGCTGAGGTACAGGAAATCTTGCTCACATTTGAGCAACTAAAAAATATGAAGGTAAATAAACTATAATATGGTTATGAATCCTGTAATATGTGGATTGCTTACTGGAAAACTTTACTGCGTAATGGTCTTATATCACCCTTAGACCGGTTTCTCCCTCCTTGACTAACCGAACTCAGAGGAAAGCGGAAGTAAAGAATCAGATACGGCGTTTATGATAGCGTTTAATTTGCAAACATGGTCACTTTTCGTGCGGTTTACGGGTGTTTGAAACGATCGAATAGGGATAAATATAGTTGTTTCTGCTTACCTTCAGTTCATGCGAAATAGTAAGTAACTTTTTGCTTCTGAACTTTTTTCAATGAGGTCAGCCATTTGGAAGTGTGGCGTTTAAAATTCTTTGAAGCATTTTCCTTACTTATGCTTTGCCTTCGAGTTAGAACAGTCTGGCGCTGAAACAGCTGTAAAAAAGTCATTATTAGCATGAATATCACTTTGAGTATCAATTTTGATTTAACCACATGTTTATGTTAGTTATACATAGTTTTTGCTGCATGCTTTTCTCAGAAAAAAAAAACAAAAAAAAACTAGAATTAAATTCAATCCACTTTTCTCACTTTTCTCTTTGTGGGCTTCCTTTATGCTGTCATATATTATGATTCGATTGGGGTCCCTGTGCATTCAAAATGGCGCCACAACAACACGAGTAACGTATTTTAATATAGTTTATAAATTTGTGGCTTTTGGTACATGAAAAGTTTACGCTGTTCTTCCCACTGAGATTCAAAGTAATCTCTAATTTTCTAAAACATGGAGCTACACAATTTTCATCCAACTTCGTGAGTAACAAAGCCTCAGGTTACAGTCTGTCGTTTCGCATTTTACGACATCTTTAAAATGCGAATAAATGCGAAATGACGGTTTCGCATTTTAAAGATCTGTAAAATGCGAAATCCTCGTTTCGCATTTTATTGTGTCGTTTCGTTTCGTTTCGTTCCGTGGTTTATTGTAAGCCAGTTTATTAAAATGCCACGGGTTTCAGATAAAGCGAAAGTGAAAAGTGAAAGCAGTTTCTTGGTCTGGACTTATCCCTGATATTATCTAGGCCGGTGGGGATATTTACTCGTTCGCAGCTAAGTGTTCGTGAATCCCCTTCTTTGACCTTTCTTTGACCGAGATTTTCTTGAAAATACCGGAAATAGCAGCATATTTGAGAATGTATAGTGTGGCATCTGGGATATTGTTATTATCATTTTTATTTTTGTTATTATAAATGTTATTGTCATTACATTCCTTTGTCATTATCATTATATTGCCATTGTCAGATTGCCAATGCCATTTTCTTCGTCACTGATTTCATTGTCATTTCCATTGCCATTACATTGTCATTGCCATTGCCATTTTCGCTGCTAACATTGCCATTGCCATCAGCATTAACATTTTTGCCACTACATGTTATTGCCATTTCTGCGATTGCCCATTGCTATCAACATTAACATTGCCATTATATTGTCATTATCACTGCCAATGCTGGCATTGCGATTGTCATCAACATAATAACATTGCCATTACATGTTATTGCCATTGTCATTGCTGCGATTGCCATTGTTGCCACTGCCATTCTCATCAGTTTTCATTTGATGAATGTGTAGGTACAAAAGAAAGTGTGGCCAAACAAGCTTAAGCGATTTGACGCAAATGAGATTGTAAGGAGAGCCAAGTCACGAGTAGGCAAGAAAAAGTACAATGTATTGACCAACAACTGCGAACATTTTGTTGTGTGGTGCATATGTGGGCTAAAGGTCAGTCTTCAAGTGACAACCAGGTGCTTTTGGGGAAAAGAGTCGTTGAAATTGCTGTGCTCTACGATCAGAGAATGTGGGATTCTGGCAGGAAGCTTGGGTTTGGGTTATGGTTTGTTATTGCTCAAAGTCCTTGACAATGTATCAGATAAAATTTTTATTAAGATTTTAAGTGGGCCTGAAAATGCCGCCTTTAATGTTGGTATCGCCATTGCACTTGTCATTAAATTATCTTTATGTTGTTACGAAATAAGGAAAGCTCTTGATGAAAGGAAAAGTGAAGAAATTCTAACTGACAATGACCTGGATGCTAAAATCGTAGAGATTGTTACTAAAGCATGGTTTCATTGGCAGCTGAGCTTTGCAGGGTTTTTTGCTGGCTTACCGTATGGTCTCATTGGTAGTTTAGTAGGAGTGATCGTTGGTATTATTACTGGAACTTATTTTGGGGTTATTGCCAAGTGGTACTGTTGGTCAGGACCGCTCACGGTACAAGCTAACGGAATCTTTAAATAACGATCTTATAGTACCCAAGATCAAACATAAGACCTTTRGTGGAAGATCTTTTGCATTTGCTGGAGCCAGTCTGTGGAACACTTTACCAAAAGAATTTAAAGTGCATATGACACGAAAAAATATTAATGTTAAAAATGTGTATTTTATTGGCATTAATAAGAATATCAC